CTCATCTCCCGGGGCAGGAAGGGCCCGTCTGCCCGGGGCTCTTACCCACAATGGAGATGGTGAAGTTGCGCAGACTCTGTCCAGTGTCCCGCGCCCGGCACACGTAGAGCCCCGAGTCCTCATAGGCGACCTCGGCGATCTCCAGCGTGCGCTGCCAGATGCGGACGCGCCCGCCTGGGAAGAGCTGCTTGGCCTCCTTGTACCAGGCGACGCCCAGGCTGTGGTTGGCATCGCAGTGAAGCCTCAGCACGTGGCCGGGGTCCAGCAGGAGGTGCTCCTCCTCCGTCTCCAGCAGGCGGCTCTCAAACAGCGCTGCCCAGCACAGGGGGGACGGCTGAGCACCAGGGCCCGAAGGCAGCTCATCCCTCCCCAGACAAGCTCAGCAGCTGTGTGCCCCGCACACCGACACCCTGCGGAGGGGCCCGAGTGGGACCTCTGCCCCAGGCAGGCCCCAAGCAGCTGCTCCTTCCACCCTCTGCAATGGACAAGCCAGGGCAGATGAGGGCAGCATGTCCTGCGGTGGCATTGCCAGGCAGGTGGGGAGCCACAGGCCGGAGCCTGGACCCTGCCCCGGGCAGAGAGAAGAGGCTTTAATCAATAGCCGCTGGTTGGTGTGGACTCACTGCAGCCCCCGGCCCGAGCCCAGGCCACATGGCCTGCTCCCTCCTCTCCGCACCGCTCCAAGGCCAGGCCCTGGGCACCGGTGTGGCCAGCCCAGCCCAGGTACGTGTGTGGGTGGGGGAGGGGAGGCTGGTTTTTTGGATCCCAGAGCCAGGCTGCCCGTGGCATTGGCTCCCCTTTCCAGAGGCCCCAGGGCATGGGGCATGCCCAGCATTAACACTGGGGGCCAAGGGCCCAGGCCCTTCATCTCCCGCTGCAGCCTCCTCGCGTTCAGTCCAACCCCCCAGCCCGGCTCTCCAGCGCCCCCAGATGGAGACGTCCCCTCAGCTGGCTGCTTGACAGGCTCCCAAATGGAGCCCTCAGGCAGCCAGGGACGGCTGCTCCTCCCCCGCCAGCCCCTCTTACCCCCCGCTGGGCCCAGCCCCGGCCCCCTTTGCAGGGCTGAGGAAAGAGCGGGTGCTGCATCTGCTGTAGCTGGAGGAGAGGAGCCCGGGCGTGGCTGCGGTCCCAGAGCTCCAGCAGCCAGCCCAGGGGAGCAGCGTCTAGCTCCCCCCCCAAACAGCGCCGGCTGGGCTCGGGAGGGAGGGCTGCCAGCTGGGCATGGCCAGTGGGAGTGATGGGTTTTCACACTCAGCTGCCTCCAGCACTTCCCGCCTGCCCTGTTTGTCTAACCTGGATTTGAACTGTGATTGCTCGGTGACACTCCCGCAAAGCAGGGCCATGGGGACCTGGCGGGCACGCACTCTCCCACCCCCAGCTCGGCTGCACCCAGCCCCTCTCTTGCTGCCCCCGACCTGGAGTTCTCACAGCTGATCTCCAGACCGGACACCTCCAATCCCCTCCAAAGGGCCCTGCCCGTCCCTGGTCAGGGCTGCCCTGCTGCCTGCCCCCTCCCCCAAAGGGGGGGGGTTCCTTCCCACCCCGGACCGGCTCCAAGTCACAGTCCAAGCGGCTCCTGCCAGCCCCGCCGAGCGAGTCCGTTCTGCCCCAGGCGTGGTGACTGAGAACCCTTAGGGCTGCAGGTGAGGAGAGGGAAGAAGGAGCCAGATGTCAAGGGGCTGTGGGGCTGGCTGCTTTGTGTGTAAATGGAGCAGGTTTGATCAGGAGTCAGAGCCAATGAGAGCTGAGCCAAGTCCCCCAGAACCACACTTTAACCGGGACACGCCCTGAACCAAGCCAGGGAATCCAGAACGAGCGTCTCCGGCCACGGGCCTGGCTCACTCCACTCCGGGCCGGAGCCTGGCTCGGGCAGACCCAGGAGATGGGGTGGGAGGAAGGTTTTATCATTCAGGCAGTTTCTCCATCAGCCGGTGGCGCTTGGGGCTCAATGGCTGACACCAGAGCGGAGGTATCAGGAGCCTAAACCCACCCACAGCCAGCAAGACAAACACCTGCTCCCGATCGCCAGCTTTGAGGTGAAAAGGCTCCGCCCGGCCCAATCCCGAGGAGCCGGACTCTGGGCCTGTGGGGAAGGGACAGGACCAAAGGCTCCACTAGCTACGGGCTTTGAAAAGCCAAGTCGGTGCCCCCTGAACTCCCCCTCCCCCGTCTCACAATAGGTCCCTTGCTGAGGTCTCCAGGTGTTACCACAATACCAGCCAACCCTCCACCCTGTGAGTCTCACTGGGCAACTGCCAGGCACCACCGGGGACCCAGGAACCATTCCTGCTGTGAGCAAGGGCCAGTCCAGCTGCTCGGCCGTCCCTGGGACCCTACACAGGCTCCGCAGCAGAGCTGCTCGGCCGTCCTCGCCCAGGCCTGGCTGCAGCACGGTGCGATCCCTGGAGCTCCAGCGGCACTGAACTGCCGCAATCTGCCTGCGCCGGGCCAGGAACAACAGCAGCAGGCCTGGATACCCGCGCATCTGAACAGCGCCTGCCCGTGCGGCACACGCTCCGTGCTACGGTGCCATTCCCGCACAGGCTGTGCGCCCTGTACACTTACCTGCACCGCCCCAGGCGCCAAGGGCGAAGAACTAGGCTCGGACTCTCCTTGGCCTGTTGCCAGCAATGGCTATTTCCCCTGCTCCATGCAGCTCACAGGCTCCCCTCTGGTCCTTCCTCCCAGCTCCCCTCACCCCCGGGCTCTGTCCCGCCTCCGCCAGGCCCCTCTCTGGCCTTTCATACCTGGCTCCATTGTCCTTCCTGGGGAAGCAGCTGCTTGAGCCCCTGTTGTCATCGCTGCCAGGAGGCCCAGCAGGGCACAGGGCAGTGGCTGCATCTTCCTGCCCTTCCTCTCCCGGCTCAGCCTGGAGCCCAGGCCCTCACAGCCTGAAACCACAGGGCCAGAGAGAGCCGGTTACCCTGCCGCTGCCACAACCTCCTCCTGCCCCCCCCCCCGAGTTCCAGCCCCTGGGGAACCCCCAGAGCCTCAACCCCCCCTGCCCCGAGTTCCAGCCCCTGGGGAACCCCCAGAGCCTCAACCCTCCCC